GCACCTAATGAATGAACAACTAATCATAGTCAAATTTACACTTGTCTTCATTTGTATGCGACATATCTAACGTTACATAATACAAGAGAAAGTGTCACTTAAGCAACAAATTAAATTTTGATGGAACAGTGTTCCGTTATAACTCGCTGTTTGATAATGTTGGTTGGATAACAACGATAAATTAAAAAAAGTGTTGAAGAATTTTATAATTCGATTTTATATGTCGAATACTTTTCCTTCATCCGCTTACAACGATTGTTTTAGCAGAGTTGGACAACTACGGAGTTTCTTGTGTAGGAGTACCGAGTTCTTGAGTACGAGTAATTCGAGTATTTTACCCGGCTCTGCATTTTAGCAACAGTAATGTAATGACAGAGATAACGCGATCGGAGAGATAGGTAGATCATTCTCTGCTCTGAAAATTTTCGGCTGAAACTTTCTGTGGCTTTGAAAATTTTGCTGGATTAATTTTCTTCAATTCTGACGAATCCATTAAGCAATTTTCTCTGAGTTCGGAGAAAATCCAAGTTTGAAGAAAGCAGTTGAATAATTTTCACCGATTCTTGCAATTGTTTGAATGAGAGCGGTTAACTTAAGCCTAGAATCGAACGAGAAATTATTATCATGACCAGATCAGAGATCGTCATCAGGGCAGGGCTGCCCTGTAGGTCGACCGAAGAGAAGTACAGGGCAGGACAGGGCAAATTTTTTTTGCCCTGTTAATTTTTCACATAAGTTTATTTGAAAGCATTTTTCGAGGCTAAATGGAATCTTTCAAAACGTCTATCATCGATGGAATTCCATTAACTTCCATGAACCAGTTATGATCCTGTCTTTTCAATTGATCTCATCAGAACTAATGGATTTGATACTCATTCTGATTTATCCTTGTACAATACAGTTCTCCCCACTTTAGAAAAGTTTAACCACGGTCATCACATCAAAAGTATTTATACTAAATAGAAAATAAATCGCAACCGCTTGGTAAGTAGCGATGAAAATCTGCAAATCGATAAAATGATAGCGTCCAGTCAACCACAATCTCTGTGTTCATTGATCAATATCTTATTTTTCTACAGTTATCCTACTTATTCTTTGGATCCGTACAAGAGAAGTGAAGATACTGGATTCAAGTCAGTTACTTTTTTTTACAAAGAATAAACTCAAATGACATCATTTTCGCTCGATAATCGTGTAACTTTTGATCAATTATTTCGTTTTCTTTCACTGAAAAGATTCTAAATTTTTTCTCATTAACCAAAAATACTTATCAATTTTTATTTTTTTAAATTAGCTATTCAATCTTAATCGACTAGAAAAATTTGAAAATAATCTTGACGATCTAAAAAGACTAACATAGCATCTCAGCAGGATTATAATCATATAAAAACAGTATCGTTTTCATAGAATTTAAACGAACTTTTGATTATTTCTGCGCATGGATAATATTCTGTTGAAATGACTTAAACAAGACATATATAATGAACACAAAACCTATTAGATTTATTCATCATGTCATAAATTCATCCTATAGTTAAGATTCGATTTAAATGCCCTCAGGGCAGGTCAGGGCAAAAAAAATTTTGCGCCTTATAATCTGAACAGGACAGGGGAAAGTAAAACAGGGCAAAAGGGCAGGGCAAAAGGGCAGGGCAAAAAAAAGTACCCTGTGGCGGTCTCTGGACCAGATACACCAGTCACCGGTATTAACATGTGATGCATGAATGCTGACGAATAGTGTATACGAATGTTTCTTTTCTGATCTTTCCAAAATTCTTGATAATTTGATGGTTTGTGCAATATCAACTATTGTATTCACTTGTTTTCAATGTTAATTTATATACAAAAATAGTTGTATCAGAAATTGAACGAAAAATAAAACTTCTAAAAAGGTCAGATTTTGAGAAAAATCTTTTAGATCCTTGAACAAGTATGAAAACAAACATTGAATTATTTTGAAACTTCTTTATGTTCATATCTAGCTTCTCTACATGCTATAAAGAATGCTCAAAGTCGTCACACGAATTATTGATTATATTTATCGAATCTAAGAGAATATTGCTTTGTGATATTCTTCATTTTGAATTAGATCTAGTTTGAGATACCTCTTGAAAGGAAATTTTTTAATGTTGATAGGAAGTAAAATTGTAGAAATTTCCTGAACTTGACATTCAAAATTTTTTATAATCCTTACTTAGTGGTAACAAACTCCATTTTTGACGAACTTTCATTTGACATAAAAATCATTATACACTCTATTTAAAATTATTGAGATACTCCGTGGTAAAATATTACTTACAATTTTGTATAATCCAAGGTTAGAAAAACAACAATTTTTGATGAATAAGGCTCATGGAGTCAGAAGTTGTACTATTTTTTTGAAAGAGAGATGAACAACTACAGAATCATGTAATCTTTGCTTTTCTAACCTTGTCTCGTTTCTATTCTATATTAAAATCAGAATCATTAAAACATATGCTACACATTTATTGATATAATTACATGCATTTATTTGGAATAGTTGTTCAATTTCGTGGCAAATCTATTCAACGAATGGGACTCAATGAATTTGTGAATTTCTTTTTACACGGACGATATAGGTGACCCCTTGATGATAATCGAGCAAAAAACGATAAATGACAATTCTTTATTCTCTGTTTCAACAAGGAGACAAGAAAAAGAAATATACGGAACGGTCAAAGGAAGAAAAAAAAACAGGAGGCGGACGAGCGAAAAATATAGAGAAATGAATTAAAAATTTATGTCGCTGACCGATAACTGATCGTCATCAACTTATTGTATGCTATTATCATGAAAAGAGAGTAAGGAAAACTTTATACGGAGATAAAAATAACGATGTAAAATAATAAATCAAAGATCGCTTGATCATCATCAAAAATACTCAAAAACAGTAGATGATAGTTCAACCAATACTATTTTACTCGTCATCTTTCTTCAAGAATTAATTCGAGATCAATTTGTTGTTTCGCTCTCTGGTATGAATAGTACTGACATATACTTGATACTATTTGAATTTGCTCTATGATATTGAAATGCACGTCGTCGAAAACATGTAACATATAGACAGTACATAATAATGTGATAATCAAATATATTGTTGAACAGATTTATATCTAATGACACGTTAGAAAAATTGTCGAAGTTCTTCTAGAAATTTAGATGATGAAAGACAACGATAATAACAAATGTCATGAGTGGTACCAATGATAGAAAGTAAATAATGAGGGTGGGTTATGGGTATCGGACTCGCGGTAGGTATGGGTATGTGAAAAGAAAAATGACGATCAGAAAGTAAACGACGTTGAAAAAATTCATGACTAGTGATCGAAAAATGACACACGATCAATTTTGGAATAATGGTTTTTGCAACACTACGACTTTCATTTTTTGCTGAATAATAAATGTGTGCAAACAACAAATGTACGCTCAATAGCAATACATACTGTTAATGGATAGTAAAGTCCAATCGAAATAGAAATGAGATAATCTAAATCAAAACAAATGATCCATCGTCTAATTTTTGTGATAAAAATGAGAAGTAAACGAATAGTAATTGCCGTTATGCCAATTTGTCCTATGATTGAGATCCATAATTGATATATGCCAGGTCCTATTTCACGTGTCTCAATTTGACAAAATGTAATAATAGACAATGTGTTACATATAGTGCCCAAAAAAAGACAAACGATTGTATCCATAATCATTTATACTAATTTAATAGAAACATACGAGAGAGAGTTTCTAGTGAAATACTATAGTAAAATGTGGAATTTCAATCATATTGAGTGATGTTATCGTGTGCCGTAGCATCGGTCATTAAATTCTAGGTTTTCAACATAGAAACAAAAACGATATCCTTAGTTCGTTGTATGAAAAACAAGAGAGCGCACAATTCTTGATGAAACTGGTACGATTGAATATCAAATCAGAAGTAAAGGTCGATGGATGATATCTTTTTTTAATATTTGAAATTCAAATAGTCCTACAAGACCATAACACATCAGCAGACTGTTTACTCATGAAATAGCTATAAAATGAGTTGAAAGAAAAGCTTAATGACATTTCGAATATTACATCTAATTCAATTGGTTGAATTCTTTCAGAAGATTTTCAGTTTTACGTTATTGTGTTAACCCTTTGACGGCGAAGACCGTATATACGGCCTTCGCCGTCAAAGGGTTAAACGAACAGCAATCCTCAGCTGATTAAATCATAAAATAATGAGTACAAGATATTCATTAGATATTGTAGGTTCTAGTTTGATGTTTAATAATCAATGTTAACAATCGATTGTTTTGTTTTTTTGGTGAATGGCGATGCAACACTAGAGTGTGGATGTGGATATAAGTAAAGCTGAGATCAATGTACACACGTACATCCACATCTATCGATTCAACTACTCGAATAATGATCATCGAGCGAAGTATGACAAGAGTTATTAAATTTTCTAGTTCTACTTTATTCATTTACAATCATGTTCCTCGATTTGAAGTGATTCTTTAAATGTAAATATCCGAATTTTAACTGAAAGAGTGTCAATCAACTGTGATGGATTAAAACAGACGATATATTTATTTTGTTTCAAGGAAATTTTTTTCTATATTTTATCCAAATGATTGATTAATTAGAACTACAAGTTCATAGAACAGAATTGAAAAAAGAAATTTCTGATTTGAGTGAACATAGTCCAAAAAATATTCAATCAAGTGTCTAAGACATCTATCTAAAAAAATCATAATCTTCATTTTTAATCTCAACTTGTACAAGTCCATAATAACAATTAGCAAAATCAATATCTTTTTCGGTTAAATTTTGATCTAGAATTTTTTGAAAACATTCTTTAGCAGAATTATATTTAAGCACGTGAATGAAATAGTTTCCAATTGAAATAAATTCTAATCATGTAATTCTCTTTCGAATGATGAAAAACAATTTCTTATATCTGGATAATCAAATGGATATAACATTAATCTAGTTGTCTAAATATTCATTTTAACATCGTAAGATGCATTATTAATATGAAAGACCGAACCTAGTGGAAAAAGAATTTCTTCTACAGGTAAAGTACTAATATATCTTATATCAGCATATGGTTTAGTTAAATAATTCATATTGACATTAATTTCTAATAATATTAATGTTAATTTATCATTAGATGGCGATCGGCTTGTTGCAAATTCTAAAACTTTATTCCTGTTTGTACTTGTTGAAGAAAATGAATTCATTGAAATTAACGCGTTTGTACTCGACTTAAGACGATTAAATTCATCTTTCCTAATACGTTGTCCTCGATAAACTTTTATAATTGGTGTTTTTATGTCTCTTATATCATCAATATATATTTTGTTCGCGATGCTTTATTTTAAATTTGATAAATACGTGTTTCTCCTATATACCAATGAATTGCTTTATCAGATTTATATTATTCATCAAATTCTTTCATAAATTGTTTATCGTTTGGATTTTCGAGTCTAAAATGTTCTTTTATACTATTGTGATGAAATGTTACTGTTGGTATTCTACTGAAGAATTGTTCAAATAATATTTGATAAAGAATAAATTCTTCATTTAATGCTTTCTGCATACTTCTATTATTTTTTGATTGAATGAATAATCTTTTTTTTGTTTTGAATTGTTTGTTTATTTTAACTATCTGAAATTCAATTTAAAATAAATTTTAATTATATAAGATCAATTTTAATTAAGGATTTCCGAGTCTTAGTCGGTGTTGAAAAAACTTTGTTTTAACCAGAATTAAATTCATTGTCTAGCACATAAATTTATAAGTGATTGACATTCGATTATTCATATATTTTAACAGATTGAAAAATGAAATATATAGAAACATTTTTTCATACAATCAGATTTATCGATTTATTGAGGATATTTATCTTTGCATAGGCTTCAACAACAGAAAAGATGGCCATCTAACTTATCACAATATATGAGTCCTTGATTACATCAAGTTGTACTCTTCTTTTTATATATGAATAACACGTATAGTAAGATTGGGACTGTCACATGCAATAGATGTTTATATTTTTACTCGAGACGAAACTAAAATAATCCAAATACGAATTTTTTATTTTATCATCGCATTCATTTCTCTTTCGATAAAAAAATGAAGAACACATTACATAATAAATTACCTCCTATTTACTCTAAGTTCGACAGTACAGTCATTATGCATCCAAAATCTGAGTTTTACATTTACTTCTTCATTTTATCAAAGCAATATAGAAAAATAAACATCCCATGTCTTATTTTTCTTTAAAATTTATATAATTTTCATCGATAATTTAAATGATTGTATTATAGTGACGTATCTTAACTAACAATTAGCCATTCCATTTATCTATACTTTTTTATATTGACCCTAGCATTATCATAATAAATCAATCAATGGTCTACCTAATATTGTTGACATCATACGATACACATCAAGTCTACAAAATGATGATAAACAAATGAGAAATTTGTTACAATATGACATAGATATTTAAATTAAGTGTTAAATTATGTTTGAATACAATCTTTACGAAAGAAAAGAAAATATAGGAGCTATCATAGTTATAATCAGAACGAAATACTACATTGTTTATTTATGTCCAGGTTATTCACTTTATTATTTTAGGTGATTATATTGTTATCATTAGAAAAATTCGATATAAAATGTAACATAAAAGGTCTCTAATGAATTCCATTTTCTTACTATTATTATTCGTTTGTGAAACACGATCTGAAAAGGAGTGTTAAAGTGTTTAGGGTAGAAATTTTGGATCCCCCCCCAACAGACCGTGACAGAGAACTCTAGAGATCATGGCAAACCGTGAGAGAGAAAATGTAGTTTTGAAGCATCAAATAAATGATAAGCTACAAATCTGTTGTGAAGAGATGAAACAAAACGGCACTCATTTAATCAGTAACAATCGGTTTTTCATGTTTCATCTTTTTTGTTTATCTATTCATTTTCTAATATAATAAGTTGATATTTGCAACATATATACTAGAAATGTAAATCTACTGTACACTAGAATTTTAGGTTTCTATCTGCTATTGCTATAGAAATACAGGTCACTTAAAACTTATAGCAACTTTTTTAAAATAATTAAAGCTATACAAGCAAAAAGAATCATGTTTTGAACTTTTATTTTCCCATTGCTTCATGCGGGTGTGGGTGTGACTACGACTTCAATGAAGAGCTAGTCCTACACCCACATCCAACATTTCTATTTTCTTTTATCAGGCTTTTACCGATTAATTTTAGCATAAGTGAACATTACTAGTTGATTTTTCCTGTCAGCCGATTTCCTTATTAAAATATCTTATTTGGTCCTTTCCTTTTTACTAACTGCATTGGCTTGTGCATGCATTGCAATTTAACTTTTTTTCTCGATTATTATGAATCGTCTTGATAATTAACAGCTGCTAGGAAGAATATATTCTTTGAGTTTCGCACTTTACGAGAAAACTTTAGATACTTAACTACACATCAACGTTATTCAGAAATAGGTAGCCATGAAAAGATGAATTTTAAGATATTGATTATGTTGCTTTACGGAAATCACATTTATAATATCACTTGTGTTTTATTTTACTTTAAGCTCAGGAACTATATGTTACTCTATTAAAACAAAATTCAAAAGCCAGCATGATTTCCTATAAGTTCCTGAGTTTGAAGTAAAATATGAGATAAGCCATATTATAAATGTGATTTTCATAAAGCAACATAATCAATGTCTCAAAATTCATATTTTCATAGCTAGCTATTTCTGAATAATGTTGATGTGTAGTTAAGTGTCCAAAATTTTCTCGCAAAGTGCGAAACTCAAAGAATATATTCTTATTAGTAACTGTTAATTATCAAGATGATTCATAATAATCGAGGAAAAAATATTGTATTCTAATGTAATATGAGTTCGTCTCCTTCACACTATTTCTCGCGTTTTTCGAAAAACTATCGCGTGAAAAACCGTTTAAAATTTAGTTTGTTAAGGAAGAAAAAGGCGTTAAACTTCAGATTTTTTTCATGGGTGTTTACGAACAAAACGGTAAGACTTTTAATCGTTAAGTCGTTAAATTTTTAACAATTTTTCACATAAGAAAACTTCGTTAAAATGGCTACAAATTTTTACGTGGGAAAGCGCTATCTAATATTTTGTTTTAAGAAATGGCGATAGATAGAAAGCAGAGAAGCAAATTTGTCTATTCCGCAGATGTACATATGTTGAAACTTGTATTCGATTGAGTTTGTAATTTTCATATTCGATTTTCTTAATTTATTTGAAGTCAAGAAACTCATCAATATTCTACTAAACCTATGAAACTTAAAATTGCATTTGAATTCTCACACGAAATTTCATATTATTAAAAATTTATCACGAGAAAAAGAAAATAACTTTAAAATAATGTGATTCATTATGTCTAACATTTGTCATTTGAACCAAATATACAATGAAATTATATTACATGTTTTATCGTCATAATTTTTCGTTTATTTTAAATGTATCAGAGCTGGAACCGGTCCGGCAAACCGGTACCGGTCCGGCCGAACCGGACCGGACCGGTACCGGACCGGTTGAAAAAGCCAACCGGGCCGGATGAAACCGGAATTTCACCGGTATGAGTTTCTAAGAAAGATTTGTTGCTTAACGATATTTTTGAAAATTAATGCTAAAAAGTTGTCTATATTTGTGCTTGAGAATGTGCAAAAAGGCTCAAAACATCTCATTTTAATTAAAGCAGGAGATTTAAGAGAAAGAAAAACTATTTCTGATTCTTGTTTTTGGTTAACGTTTTCGCTATCAAGTCACAATCGATTTTGCCGGCAGCTAGCATATGCTTGATGAACTGTTTACAAAGTTCGAATGCTTGATAAATTTTAAACATTATGCATATTTTTTC